TAATGCCTCGAATAAAGTGTATGCCTCAGCCAAAAGTATACGAGAAGACGTCGCGCTCGAAAGATTCCAGCATTTTGTCGCTTGCAGCGCTTCACATTGAAGCGCAATTAAACGTATATCTATTGAAAAGCTATCAGACTGATATTTAACAGTCATCAGACTAATATTTAATAGAAATAAACAGCTATCAGACTGATATCAGATCGTTATCAGTCCATTTCCAACTCCATCTGCTATATATATAAGGCGTATAATTTTGCTTATACCGTTTTTTTCCGAAATTCGAGGCTTTATTGTAAAACTGGTTATACATTTATGATTCAAAGTATTGTCCATCGCTTGCCACTACTTTCTCCCATCTTTCGGGCAGCATACGAATCCCGCGTCGAAAAAACTGGTCATCTTTTGAGGCGATCCAATTTTTTACTTCTTCATAAGACCGGAAGTGCTGGTCAGCCAGGTCGTGTGCCATTGATCAAAACAAGTGATAGTCAGAGGGAGCAACGTCTGGAGAATACGGCGGGTGGGGTAGGACTTCCCATTTCAACGTTTCCAAGTATGTCTTGACCACTTTCGCAACATGGGGTCGAGATGGGATCGAGCATGGTCATGCTGCAAAATCACTTTATCGTGTCTCTCGTTGTATTGCGGCCGTTTGTCTTTCAGTGCTAGGCTCAAACGCATCAATTGCGTTCGATACTGATCGCCTGTGATTATTTCAGTCGGTTTTAACAGCTCATAATATACTACGCCGAGCTGGTCCCATCAAATACAGAGCATGATCTTGGAGCCGTGAATATTCGGTTTGACCGTGGAAGCATGGCCGGGAACTCCCCATGATTTTCTGCGCTTGGGATTATCGTAACGAATCCATTTTTCGTCCCCAGTCACAATGAGATATCTTCAGCAAGGAAATTAATCAGAATATTACACATCACAAGCGATGTGATTTTACGAAACATTTCAAACAGTGCCTTCTTATGCTCTTAAAATTTTTGAAAATCGAACTTAAACATCATTTTTTAAAATCATATTTGATCATTTTTGAATATTTTTTAATAGTTATAAATTGCTATTAAAAAAAGAAAAAGATTCATTGACATTGTGTCATGTATATTTCTTGAAACACTTTTCTTTCAAGTTTTTAAATGGATCAATTAAAGTGAAAAATCTCGAACTAATTAAAGCGTAATTATTAATAAAAATGATATCAGGAGAACTGAAACTTGATATTAATGGCGGATGAAGTTTGCCTTCAAAATTCTCAATGTAATATCTATCAGAAATATTATATATATATATATATATATATATATATAATATATATACTTATTTATTTATTTACATGCTACTGATCAGAGTAGCGGAAATAAAAACATATTAATGTGACATAACATACATTTTATTAAAAATCTTACATTCTTCCTGACGTCGCGACCACCAGTTAAATATTTTAAATACATTTTGCAAAGCACAATTCTTTGCATGTTTTTCACATCGTATAGTATTACAATCATTCAGATTAGTTAAAAATTCTATGTCTTCGTAAACTCTATCCAAGGTTTCGATGTACATGCGTTCTCGCTCCTCGTCCAGAAGCACAGTCACGTTCATTTCTCGCGTCCCTTGACGTATACGATAGCATGATTTTCAAATACAGTCGCCATGATCAGGCGTTTTGACGCTGTATGGGACCATCCTGTCCTCCCATCGCAATCCATGATGATAAGCATTCAACCAGGAAGCGCAAGACTTGTCGGATGTTGGATCTTGTCAAAAGTTTCCATGGCACGGGACTCGTAAAAATGTAATATGCGAGAACGATCTCCTGTTTCAGCACCGCTACTTCTTTGACAATAAATTTCTTGTTAACGACGAGTCCTTGTAGATCCACAAACGTTGGTATGACGAGCAATTTTTTCAAAACTGTGTTTCATTCCAGTTTTTCTAACTCTTTTAAAGTTCTAAATACTTGCTGACCTCGCAATTTACATAATCTTGCGTACTACGTTGGACACTAGACAGTACTCAATTACACGATTGTTTATATGATGAGACAATAGATGGTAGTATTGGCGGGCACATTCTCCTTACAGTCAAATTCTACATATCGCGGCTTCTCAAGTTTTGACAGCGCATGAATGCTTGGTATTCTGTAACAGAGGATACTCGTACAGATCTCACAAACGAAAACTCATGCTCAGATAACGAGCGCTTTCCAATGTTCGCAGCATTGATAATTTATTGATCTCATTTAACGCAACGTAAGGCATCCGCCACTGCACTTTGAATAATTCAACCTCAGCCTCCGTCACAGGATTTCCATTAAGTAATTGTAATCGTTACGCGCTCGTATCAAAATCAATTCGTGGCAAGAGTTGACGACCACGCGTTTATAATCTTCGCAAAAGCCCAACAGCATGTTAAGCGGCACACAAAAATTAAAGTATCCTTCCTCCGTGTCGGATCTAGAATTCCATCCTGCGTTCAGAGCAATCAAAGCTTTATCGTACGTCATTGATACATAATTCTTGATAGTTGGTAACATTTCTTGCGGTCAATCTCCATTCAGTTCATACCGTTCAGTTCTTATCGAATTTCATCAAACATGAACGTCACGCAATTATTTCCAAGCGCGATTGACATCTAATCATTTTTATTTTTCATCGTCAATCTTCCTTCGATGTAGAGAAAACTGTCGCACGTGTACAAATCTTGCTGCTGTATGGATATCCGTATCTCGTCGCTATGTCCAAACGTAGTGTTGGCATACGGATTGTATGTGTGAGTCTTAATCTTGACGATGCAGTCGTCAAAGATCGGCTCACCAGTAATGTTCACCAGGATATCAACCATTTCATACGATGAAATCCAACGACTTTAAGAATGCAACGTTGGATGCAGTGAGTTTCTTTCCAGATGTAGTCTCTCCAGTAAAAGATGTATCTCTTGTTTGTTTCGGCTATTCATTTAACACAAACATCTCATGTTAGCACCGACGTATGCAATCTAACTGTGATCTCTTCTCCACGAAAATCAAGCAATCGATTAGTCTATCACGCGAATTATTAGATCCGTAATGTTCCGTACAACGATCGGAAAGTAAATGATCTGCGTCAGCCTTTCCGATATCTTATATCCCGGCAGCACGCTCAGCAAAAATTTGTGTATCGTGTGCATGCACCTGTTGTTGCTGTACGCACCCACAGTCACGTTGTACTCGATACGTATGATATTCATATTGATATTTATCGGCACGTCCGACTCGTGCCACTGTCGTAGCTCCAGCACGCGATTGGACGAAAATCCCAACAGCGAGTTAATGTAAGGTTTTGCAAAATTTATCCGATAGGCGCATTTGATCTCACTTCTTATCGTATTGTTGTTGGAGCGAATAACCAGCGGGAATTCTTCATCCACCTTGTTCTTCGCATCGTGAAAACGTAAAATTTCACGCTTCAGATGCCGCTCTACAGGGTGTTCCCAAAAGGTATCAAATTTTATGTAGTACTCGTTAAAACAAACTAAAAAGTCTTAATGAACAGTACTCCGAAAATCTTTTATTTCTGCGTTATGAAGCATTTTCTTCTGTGAAAAATAGAAAATAGCTTAAATTTACAATAAATGTTCAGTGTCCTCCGTCCATTTCAACACACATTCAGCACGTCTCCTCATTGAAGATCGAACACATTCAAAGATTCCGGGTTTATTCTGTATTTGTTGACAAGTTTTCAATTCTCTGAGTCAATTCATCTATTGTATCAACTGATGTGGCATATACCATATTCTTTAAGTGTCTCCATAGATAATAATCCAACGGATTTAAATCTGGTGAGCAAAGTGGCCATATAACTGGACCTATCCATCTTTCTTGAAAACATTTGATTAAATGGCATCTACAACATTAACGAAGAAATGGGCAGGGGCATACCATCGTGCATGAACCACATTCGTTGTCTATGTTGTAAAGGAATATCTCCCAAAAGTTCGAATAAATTATTTTCGAAAAAATTAAGATACACTTATCTTGTTAGTCTATTAGGCAAAATATAAGGTCCGATTAGATGATCTCCAAAAATACCTGCTCAAAGGTTTACAGAAAAACGATGCTAATGTCATGATGCTGTGATAGCACGAGAATTTTCATCTCCCCAAACATGTATATTGTATACTGGGTGTCTCAGAGCACCCGTACCACCCTTTTAAAAGGTAGGGATGTGTTTGTACAAAAAAATGGTTCAGACAAAATTTGCAGGATTTCGGGAGATCTATCTGATGGTGACCTTGAATTTGACCTTGAGGTCGACCTTGGGCATAACTCAAGGTCAAAGTACCGTTTTACAAATGTAAACCCTTATTCATGACATCACAAATGAAAATAGCGGAAAATTTTACGTCCGAATACGTTATCAAGCCTAGGTCAAAATTACCCTTAGAGGTCATGTGGAGGTCAAGTTACTTTTAGAGCACCCGTACCAACCTTCTAAAAGATATGGATGTGTTTGTACAAAAAATAGTTCAAACAATACTAGGTATTTACATAGCTATGATGCATCCATCTGCTGGTGAATTTGAATTCTACCTTTAGATTCATTTGTAGTCGTGTACATCGATTTTTAAAGATTCCTAATTATCAAGATCTTGAACAGTCGATGCCGCCTGTGTCAGCGTTACCCAAGATGTACCACGTGGAGGTCACAAGGTCGGACTTACACCTCGTCGGGGTGCTTTTTTAAGGTGGTTCCCCTTGCCGTCACCTTTGTTCGTACGCATGTGTTCAGTCTAGATTTTCGAAGTGTCCTCCACGTGCATGTATGAAGGCTGTTATTCTTCGTTGAAAATCATCCATCACCCGACGAATTTCGACAGGATCTAGAGACTGAATGGCTTCTCGAATTCTGTTCTTCATGTCTTCTGAAGTCGTAGATCGTTCGCGGTATAGGTACGAGGTCTTTTATTCTTCCCCACAAATAAAAATCCAAAATTGTAAGATCCGGTGATCATGGTGGCCAGTTATGTGGACCATATTTACCTATCCATTGGCCGCGAAATATGCGGTTCAGTTGTTGACGAGCAATGACAGACGTGTGGGCTGGACATCCATCCTGTTGAAACCACATATTTAGACGTAGTTGAAGTGGAATATCTTCAAGTAAACGTGGGAGTTCGTTTTCGAGTAAATCGACATACAGAAAACGGTTTAGATTTTCTTCAAAGAAAAATGGTCCGACGATATGCGTATCAACAATTCCGCACCAAACATTGACTTTCCAGATACGTTGATGATCGATTTCTCGATACCAATGTGAATTCTCTTGCACCCAATAACGGAGATTATGTGTGTTCACTTCGCCGTCACTTTTGAAGGTGCACTCATCAGAAAACAAGATACTTCTATGGAAAGTAGGTAATTGTTGAGTAATCCAATTACAGAATATCAGTCTTTGTCTATGATCGTCCAATGTCATGGCCTGGTGAAGTGACATTCGATATGGATGAAATGAATTTTCTCGCAAAATTCTACTGATAATGCTTCTACTTATTCCACTATCTCTTTCTCGTCTTCTTAAAGAATCGGTAGGATTTACAAGAGCAGAAGCAATTATATCAGGTGCCCGTACTGCACGAAGCGGACGATGAATTTGCATTCCTTTATTATAATCCG